GACAATCCTTAATCAATTCTTGAAACTTGGCGGCATATTCAGCAACAAAACAGTTTCCTTGTTTCAATTCAAGAAACTCCACCTCTTTCTTCCCACGGACATCCTCAGGAAAGTAGTTCTCCAAGAATGCATCTCGAAAAATGGCCCAAGTCACCACGGTGTTATCCTCATCATACCTCTGACTAGCGTTAATTCACCAGTCCTCAGCTTTCTTCACCAGCATGTGAGTTCCGAATTGCACCTTCTGAGCATCGGTATAATTCATCACTCAAAATCTTTTCTATGGACTTCAACCATTCTTGAGCTTCTTCAGGCGCATGCTCTCCTTTGAAAGTAGGCGGATTATTTTTCAGAAACTTTCCAAGAGCACTGAATCCATCATCACCTCCACCTTGCTGAACAGGATTAGCTTGCGGCATCTGATTCAAGGATCCCGCAGTAATCGCAAAGCCTCAGCAAGTGCATTATCATTCCTTCCAGCAACCATCTTCTTCTGGACAACACAAAAGTATCGATCGCGTCAGACACACAATCAAATACAATGGGATTAGCAAAGTTAAGACTTGGCAACTGACCGACTATGCTCTGATACCACTATTGTAACACCTCTTCTAATAAACCCCGAATTAACGATATAAATAAAATCAGAGAAAATAAAATTTGCACGGAAGGAGTGTCACAACATCAATCCACATGTTCAAGAAAAACGGACATGACATATTCGTCACTTTAATCATTTAATCACATAATACATTCATGGCATATACTTTCTTTTTCGTGCAAACGCAACGGAATCATAGTAACTTCATCTCCAAAGGAGGAATCAAAATATAAAATTCAAGGCATTAAGCCATATGGTTCATACACCAAACATGTTACCAAGTCTCATAATACATACATCAAAATATGATCAAAATAAAGGATTATATACAAGTATAATCCATCCACAAAATAAGAGTTCGAATGCGGATACTAAACCCCCAAGTGTTACAATCAGAGCATCGACTCAATAACCAAAACATAACGAACTACAAGCCTAAATGCATCCTCTAATCCTTGTGCCTCGCACTACCATCATCGGTACCTGAGCGATGCCGTATCAAGCATCATTCCAACAGAAAGGTGAGAATTCCAATAATCATAAAATATATAATTTAAAAACAATGGAAAGAAATAAATAAAAGGAATTCTCCATACTTGAATATATGTGTATATCACTAACATAAGCATATTCATATATTCCATATTCCGCTATATTCAAGAATTATCACTTTAACCATTTATCATCCTAACCATATAATCACACTCATTCACACATCATAACCAATTTCACAAACTCAATCATCTTCACATAAACTCATAATATATATCATTATGCATATGACTCACAACTCGATGCAACCAATGCAAATGCGGTACCGACTTGTGGACCCAAAGTTCCACTGCTTATTTTTCCACATAGGATCAAAGCCACTATGTCTATTTCCACTATAGGATCAACGTCTATTTTTGTGAACCCAAGTTTCACCGCTTATGTTCCCTTTCCGGGTCAAAGACACTACGTCTATTTCCATTCAAGGATCAACGTCTATAAAATGTGAACCCACTGTTTCACCGTCTCTATTTCAAGACAAACCATGCCATGCAATGTACAATCACCAACTCGTATGAAATTAAGACCACTTCCGACCTTAACATACACATACCACATATTCCAACACAATGAAATACCAACAATTGTACATGTATTGCAAATATAATTCACAAATCAAGTAACATACAAGTTTAAACAATGTTACTTCCATGATTTATTCAAACCAAACACAATTCCGATTAGCCCTTGAAAACGTCTTAATCTCAAAAAATAACTCAACCATAATTACCTACATATTTAACTTAATTACCCCGTCAAATTTCATTAATTTCCGGATGACTAATTTTTACCGCCTATACTGGCAAATTAGAAACAAAACACAATTCCGATTAGCCCTTGAAAACTTTGAAATCTCAAAAAATAACTCAACCATAATTACCTACGCATTTAACTTAGTTACCCCGTCAAATTTCATTAATTTCTGGATAACTAATTTTTACTGCCTATACCGGCAAATTAGAAACAAAACACAATTCCGATTAGCCCTTGAAGACATCTAAATCTCAAAAAATAACTCAACCATAATGACCTACGCATTTAACATAGTTACCCCGTCAAATTTCATTAATTTCCGGATCACTAATTTTACCGCCTAAACCGGAAAAAAAACGAAATCAAATGCAATAAAAACATACTAGATGTTTAGAGGAAGTCTAACCCTTACCGATTATAGCTCTGATTTTGCAAGATGGAGATGGATATTTTTTTTACAGCAACTTCCTTCTCCTTCAAAACCCTAACTTTTCCTCTTCAACCCTCTTCTCTCTATTCTCTCTGTTTTTCTTTTTGTTTTTCTCCTTCTAATTTCTAACCTCCTGATACATATATCTAACTTACATATATAATATATTATAAAACTAAGTATATTATATATATATATATATATATATATATATATATATATATATATATATATATATATATATATATATATATATATATATATATATATATATATATATATATATATATATATATATATATATATATATATATATATATATATATATATATATATATATATATATATATATATATATTTAATAAAACTAATTTATATTATTTAATTAAACTAACTTAATATAATTAAATAAATACTTTAATAATTCAATTATTACTAATTAATCAATTAACACACATCAAATACAATATTACTATATAAAATTAATTATTTTTTGATAAACTGAATAAACTAATTTAATCAACTACCGGACGGAATAACCGACTAAATAATTATCAAATTGCTAAAATAAATATTAACCGGTCATTTTTGGAAATTAATAATATAAATACTATTAATTAAAACGGGATGTTACAATAATTCTTACTATACAAAAAGTTCATACAATATAAGTGATCAAGAAAACTCCACAAACCCTAAGCTTGTTGTTGATTCAACCCCTTCTCCTCTTTTGATCTTGAGAAAGACCAAGGCACAATAGATCTCAATTGAGTTGTTGATATTGCTACTCTTTTGCATTCTTTATCTCCAAAGCTTTCTCGCACAAACGATCAAATTGTACCTTTTGCAATCACAAAACATCAATTGTGATCCGTCTTTCTCACGCTAATTCATTTGCGTTCTTTATCTTCAAATGATACATTTCATTCATTATCTCTAAAGGACTTCGCTTGACTGCAATCACTTCTTGAACGTCTTGCACGAAAACCTTCAAATCAACCAATGATCTTGGAGGACAAACCTGTGGTCTTTCCGGATGAAGACCCCTATAAATCTAAACCCTATATTCTCGACGACACGAGAACTTAATCGGGCGGTACCAAACTTTGTCTAGATGGTACCTCAAAGGAACATCATTACAATGTAATGCTAGTGCCTATGCATAGATTGGAGATTGAAAATGAAGAGCAAATATAGGTTAATTTGATGGTATCATCAAGTTATGAATGATGCATGAATGAGTATTTATAGTTTTGGAACTTTAGGGCAAAAAGGACAAATTCAAAATTAAAATAATTTGAGAAAATTGACCAATCAATTAGTATGTGTCGACATTTAAATCGTATGTGTCAACACATAAGTTATTTTTAAGCTGTATGTGTCGACTTATGTGAGGTTATGTGTCTACCTAACCAAGTCAAGGCTACAAGCTTTAAAACAATAGTAAATGTGTCGACCTGAAAATTGCACGTGTCGACAAAATTTAAAGAATTATCAAATTAATTTAACTTATCATGGAAAAAATACAAAAATAATTTTTAAACTTTATATCTTTATATAAATTTATATATTATGTATATAATATATATTAATTGAATTATTAATTTTTATTTGTATTGTAATGATTTTTTTGTGTATATAACAATTATTAATATATTTATTTCTTATTGGTATTTTTAAATTAAATCAATTTAGAAAAACTTATTGTATTATTAAATTAATTTAATCTATAATGGAAAAAATATAAAAATAATTTTAAAAAGTTTATTTGTGTTTTAAAGATATTTACTGTGTATATCAAATTTATTTATTAAATTATTTTCTTCTTGTTTTTATTTAATTAAATTAATTCAACAAACATTATAATCTTATTAATTTAATTCAACAGAAACTGTTTTATTAATATTCACACAAAATATTTATTATTTAAAAATATAATATATACCTTTTTATCCTAATAAAAATTTTGTGTGTATAATTTAGTTTTGGATCTAATAGAAATTGTGAGTGTTGCTGAAAATTGTTTGAAATTTGAATATATTACTCGATGATTTTTTTCCACAAAAAGATTAGTTATGACTAAATTTGTAATCAGAAAAAAAATTATATCATGAATAAATAATATTTAATATTTTATAATATATAGAACAGTGCTTGAATAGTTAGATGTAAAAAAGTTTTCTTTTAATTATAAAATATTGAATTCTTAATCCAAAATGATTCTATTAATTCAATGGTTAAAATTTTGCTACAAAATCAGCTGCAAGCATGGAAGCTGCCAAGAATCCATTTTCATTTTAGTAATGCATTTTCTCAATTCTATATGATGAGATAGAGGTAACTATTTAATCTCATAATAGAAGAATTTCTCGTGAGACACAATTTGGTGAGTGATGAAGACAAATTTAAATCATCCTCCTATTCTTAAAGAGTGTCCAGATTCATCAAATTCAAACAAAACTCCACCACCCAATTTATGTTATTTTCATTTTGCCACCTCAATTTTGTACATTTCAACACACGTCCATATGCATGGAACATCATGACCAAATGTTGGTGCATGTTCATTACATAACTTGTTGTTCTATACCTATAAATATCCTTTCACCTCAATGTACTTCATTCATCCACATCGAGTAAAGTTAGACTTTAATTCAAATCAACATGGCTGCTACCACATTGAAAGATTCATTTCCACTTTTGACGTTGTTGGGAATCGCTTTCCTAGCTTCAGTGTGTCTTTCTTCTAGATCCGATCAAGATAACCCTTTTGTCTTTGAGTCTAACAGGTTTCAAACTCTTTTTGAGAATGAAAACGGTCACATTCGTCTTCTCCAAAAATTTGATCAACATTCCAAACTACTTGAGAATCTCCAAAATTACCGTCTTTTGGAATATAAATCTAAACCTCACACCATATTTCTTCCACAACAAACTGACGCCGATTTCATCCTTGTTGTCCTTAGTGGTAATTAATTATTTATCAAGTTAAATATTAAAAACATATTATAAATAGATATTTAAAAAGAATGGTATTTCTCGCTTTGCATGTTTGTTTTGTAATGATAAATTAAGTTCAATTTTAAAATCTAATGTCATTTGTAATTTGCAGGAAAAGCTATACTCACAGTGTTATTACCCAACGACAGAAACTCCTTCAGTCTTGAGCGAGGAGATACCATAAAACTTCCTGCTGGTACAATTGGTTATTTAGTTAACCGAGATGACGAGGAGGATCTTAGAGTACTAGATCTTGTCATCCCCGTAAATAGACCAGGTGAACCTCAGGTAATATATCCAATATTTATCTTTTCTAATATCAACTAATGTATGCATGCAATTGCATAAAATAGTTTTTGGAGATCTTTTTCATAACATCACAACAACAATTATTACTATGTTTATCCACATTTTTCTACAATTTTTTCTATTGATCTTATAATTTTTTTTCCTTTCAACAGTCTTTCTTATTGTCTGGTAATCAAAACCAACCGTCCATCTTATCTGGATTCAGCAAGAACATTTTAGAGGCTTCCTTCAATGTAAGCATAAAACAAACTATTTCTTCATTTTTCATGTATTAGTTTGATTTACTCTTTGTAAATATTCACTTTGTCCTTGTATATATTGTAAATATTGTAGACCGATTATAAAGAGATAGAGAAGGTTCTCTTAGAAGAGCATGGGAAAGAGAAATATCACAGGAGAGGCCTTAAAGATAGGAGGCAGCGGGGCCAAGAAGAAAATGTAATAGTCAAAATATCAAGGAAACAAATTGAGGAATTGAACAAAAATGCAAAGTCTAGCTCCAAAAAGAGTACATCTTCTGAATCTGAACCGTTCAATTTGAGAAGTCGTGAGCCCATCTATTCCAACAAGTTTGGTAAATTTTTTGAGATCACCCCAAAGAGAAATCCACAACTTCAAGACTTGAATATATTTGTCAATTATGTGGAAATTAATGAGGTATATCAAAATTATCTTATAACATAAACAAATAAACTCCACAACAAGTTCTATATAAATGTAATCTTAATTAAAATTAAACTAGATCAAATTACAATTGTTCTAAAGGATTTAAATTTTGTCCATTGAAGTTATAATGTCAAACTTTTATTAATAACTCATTGATAATAAATTTTATATACCAGATAACATGTTTTAATTATAGAACATATTGCTAAAATGTATATTTGTTTATTCTCTAAATTTTAATCTTAGGGATCTCTTTTGTTGCCACACTACAATTCAAGGGCCATAGTGATAGTAACAGTCAATGAAGGAAAAGGGGATTTTGAACTTGTGGGTCAAAGAAATGAGAACCAACAGGGCCTGAGAGAAGAATATGACGAGGAAAAGGAACAAGGAGAAGAAGAGATAAGGAAACAAGTGCAAAATTACAAAGCTAAGTTGTCTCCAGGTGATGTTTTAGTAATTCCAGCGGGTTATCCAGTTGCCATAAAAGCTTCATCAAATCTCAATTTGGTGGGATTTGGCATCAATGCTGAGAACAACCAGAGATACTTCCTTGCAGGTATAATATATGAATTTAAAGTCAGTGTTTTAAGTCACCTTATTTTATTTAAATCAAAGAGAAAAAATAATTAAGATGTGTTTACTTTTATGTGATTGAAAATTTAAAGGTGAGGAAGACAATGTGATAAGTCAGATACATAAACCAGTGAAAGAACTTGCATTCCCTGGATCAGCTCAAGAGGTAGATACGCTACTAGAGAATCAGAAACAATCTCACTTTGCAAATGCTCAACCTCAAGAAAGAGAAAGAGGAAGCCAAGAAATAAAGGATCATCTGTACTCAATTTTGGGTTCTTTTTAATGAGTGATCAAATGTTATGTATGTATGCTCTAAAGTACTATAGCTCATAGTGAGCAAATAATAAAACGACTCTCTCTTGTAACTATAATTATAACTCCACCTTTCTACTAAGAATAAATAAATTAAGAATGTTTGTGTGCTCCTCTTAACTACTATTTTTTTTTGTTAACATTACATAAATAAATCAATATTTTTTTGTTAACATTAAATTTGTTGTAAAAATATATAAAAATTAATGTTTAATATCTGCTTATACCGTCACTAAAGATAGATAACTTTTTTTCAAAAAATAATAACAACAGTTTGAACTGTAATAATATCATGAGACAATTTGTAATTGTTGAAATAAACCTTCATAAACAAAATGTCAATTAAAAGAAGATGATTGTTACAATCGTCACCATTATACTATGGAGGTTGTTCTAGACCCGTCACTATATATTACTGAGATTGGGGCAAAGATTTTTCAAAGTGTTTTAGAATAGGCTTCTGACACACAGATTTGCAATTGTTGTCAAATTGTTGCAACCCAATATTAGCGATAATTAGAACCGCCACAACACTCATACAAAACTGTCACCAAAACCCCTTTTTATTATAATGAGACTATTATGATTAATGTTGATTGCCATTTGCCATATGTGAACTATTAAAGAGTGGTATGTTTTATTTTTTCATCCATACATTCCATTATTTATAATAAAAAACTTTTCTAAAATTATTAGACTGCAATTTATGTTTCGATTCTGAATGAGAATCATCAATGTATATCATCACTTTTTCGTAGTCTCTTCAATTAAATATAAATCAATACCTGAAAAAATAAAATTGAATAAATTTATTAGTTAATAAAAAATATTTCTTTCACATGTTTGGTAAATTCTTTTTTCAAGGTAGATGTTGAGTAAGAGATTGAAGATTGTGGTGTTGTTGTAACCAATAGTAACTTCATCAAATGATTTTTGAACCTTCTCTTATTAGGTCATTTAGGATGAGCACGCATACAATAACTTCTTGAAAAATCAATATCTTTAACTGATTTCTTACCATATATATTCAATGTGAAGATCTTGCAAATCTAGTAAATTGGTTAGTTATAACACTGAGTTGGTTCGCAAAGTTTGTTACAGTTTCCTGTTATTGCATTTTTCATTTAATCATTTATGTGTATAAATGTATTAAACATGTGGGTGTATTCTTTTCAAAGGATCAATGATTCTATTTTCACATCATCAATATTGTTATTATGGATAATAATGGGGAGTTATATTGTTTCTCTAATAAATATTACATAGATAAGATGGGAGAGGCAAGGGGCATGATGCTTCTACTGTCTTGAGATTTAACACACTTCTTGAATTTTGCCCAGTAGATTGTTTATATAATGGACCCAAACACTACAAGAAAATCTATGATTAGCTATGACAGAGTTAGGTGGAGATTGGTTGTGAATTAAGTATTACATATGTTATACCTTGGATTGGGTGGCTAAACATCTAGACTAAATTGTCCTAGCAGAATTCAAACTCATTTTTTACAATTCATAGCTAAATCTGAATTAAATCGTAGCAAATAATATGTCTTGTATTTATGTTTCCGAACTATATAGCTACAATATCACCACAAAGATATCATGGTAAATCTCAAGTTAAATTAAACTCAATGAATTTTTTAATTTTCTAATCAAAACCAATTAGGATATATATTATAAAAAAATCATTTAAACTTATACTTTATTACTACAAAAAACACAACTTAAATTCCAATTTCATATTTATATATCTTCAATAACTAATCCATTAATCATTAAGATGATAAAAAACAATTTTTTAATATCATTAACCAATGTTAGGCCTAAACTAATAATATTAATCAATTACAAGAAACATATTTATCCTCATCTCAAAAAACTCTAAGGATAAGATCTAATATTCACCATTTTGATGCTTCAAAAGCATCTACAATTAGAGTTATGTTAAGACCATCATTCACTTTGAGCACAAGGCAAGCAATTATGAACACTTGCAACATAAAAATACACTATGAGTTCTTGTGCATAACCATTTGTCTAAATCAACACAAAATCTAGTATAGTAAGAAGTTAGAAGCACTGCAATTATAACAGTAAATAAAACTTCGAATCAGTTGTGTATAGACTTCACCATGTCAATATACCATGTAATGTAACTAAGACTTCTTATGTAACTAAGACATCATGTTTCTTCTAAGAGTTTTTTCTGCGCCATCTGGGTATTCTCTCAAAAGACATGTTCTAAATTTTTCTCGAATAGCATCTTCAACTCCCCGAAAGAGTTAAGCCTTGTAGTAGGACTTTAGTTCCTCCGTTTGTAGCTTTTACTCCCAAACCAGATCTCCATTGCAGTGTTTTAGCCTAATGCTCGGTTGTACTCTAGTGTTGCATGGTCACCCCCGGTATAATTTGTGTGTCTAATTTGTCAGCATACGCTTTATAACATTCTTAAATACTCATTTTTACATACATCATGCATAATCGAACTTATATTCATGTTTATTTGCATTCTTGTTGTTTTGATCAACTCTTGTTAGTTTTGATTATCCTCTCAAAGAGTGTGCATTCCTTATAAATGCTCCTCTCGCTTAGAATGTCTTCCTAAGCCGAAAGTGTACCCTCTTAATTTTCCACTTAGTTTGTTGTTAGACGCCGATTACGTATCTAGATGGGGGTGAATAGATATCCAATTAAAATTCCAGAAAATTCTGGTTTTGAAAAATTACTTATCGAAGAGTTTGAGCCGAAGTGATTATCAAAATAAGTCTTCTATATGAACGTTATTGAAAACTCGGATATGCAAATTATTAAAAAATAGAAAATGGAATAAATATGATGAATCATATTAATATAACTCATATCAAGTAACACGTTATTTATCGTTTGCCTCAGGTTACTAGTAAAGTTATTTCCAATACCAATATTCAAAAGAACACTTGGTGTGCAAGTGAATTTTCAGAATTTTTCTTTAAGTTGTGTTGATACACAAAAGCACTTATAATCAAAAGTGATTATAAGCAATATCAACATTTGATGTAAATAAAAAACAGTTAGAAAAATTTCTTACAATTTAATTGATAACGCAATGCTATTTGACAAATTAATTATGAATATTAAAGCAAGTAAAAGAAAAAATAACAGAGACACAGGGGTTTGTCTTCAGAGTTCCCCATTTTCGTCCTCGCATGTGGGTGCGTCTGCGCCTAATTTCAATGGAATTAGGATAATTCTTACTATACAAAAAGTTCATACAATATAAGTGATCAAGAAAACTCCACAAACCCTAAGCTTGTTGTTGATTCAACCCCTTCTCCTCTTTAGATCTTGAGAAAGACCAAGGCACAATAGATCTCAATTGAGTTGTTGATATTGCTACTCTTTTGCATTCTTTATCTCCAAAGCTTTCACGCACGAACGATCAAATTGTACCTTTTGCAATCACAGAACATCAATTGTGATCCGTCTTTCTCACACTAATTCATTTGCGTTCTTTATCTTCAAATGATCCCTTTCATTCATTATCTCTAAAGGACTTCGCTTGACTGCAATCACTTCTTGAACGTCTTGCACGAAAACCTTCAAATCAACCAATGATCTTGGAGGACAAACCTGTGGTCTTTCCGGATGAAGACCCCTATAAATCTAAACCCTATATTCTCGACGACACGAGAACTTAATCGGGCGGTATCAAACTTTGTCTAGATGGTACCTCAAAGGAACATCATTACAATGTAATGCTAGTGCGTATGCATAGATTGGAGATTGAAAATGAAGAGCAAATATAGGTTAATTTGATGGTATCATCAAGTTATGAATGATGCATGAATGAGTATTTATAGTTTTGGAACTTTAGGGCAAAAAGGACAAATTCAAAATTAAAATAATTTGAGAAAATTGACCAATCAATTAGTATGTGTCGACATTTAAATCGTATGTGTCAACACATAAGTTATTTTTAAGCTGTATGTGTCGACTTATGTGAGGTTATGTGTCTACCTAACCAAGTCAAGGCTACAAGCTTTAAAACAATAGTAAATGTGTCGACCTGAAAATTGCACGTGTCGACAAAATTTAAAGAATTATCAAATTAATTTAACTTATCATGGAAAAAATACAAAAATAATTTTTAAACTTTATATCTTTATATAAATTTATATATTATGTATATAATATATATTAATTGAATTATTAATTTTTATTTGTATTGTAATGATTTTTTTGTGTATATAACAATTATTAATATATTTATTTCTTATTGGTATTTTTAAATTAAATCAATTTAGAAAAACTTATTGTATTATTAAATTAATTTAATCTATAATGGAAAAAATATAAAAATAATTTTAAAAAGTTTATTTGTGTTTTAAAGATATTTACTGTGTATATCAAATTTATTTATTAAATTATTTTCTTCTTGTTTTTATTTAATTAAATTAATTCAACAAACATTATAATCTTATTAATTTAATTCAACAGAAACTGTTTTATTAATATTCACACAAAATATTTATTATTTAAAAATATAATATATACCTTTTTATCCTAATAAAAATTTTGTGTGTATAATTTAGTTTTGGATCTAATAAAAATTGTGAGTGTTGCTGAAAATTGTTTGAAATTTGAATATATTACTCGATGATTTTTTTCCACAAAAAGATTAGTTATGACTAAATTTGTAATCAGAAAAAAAATTATATCATGAATAAATAATATTTAATATTTTATAATATATAGAACAGTGCTTGAATAGTTAGATGTAAAAAAGTTTTCTTTTAATTATAAAATATTGAATTCTTAATCCAAAATGATTCTATTAATTCAATGGTTAAAATTTTGCTACAAAATCAGCTGCAAGCATGGAAGCTGCCAAGAATCCATTTTCATTTTAGTAATGCATTTTCTCAATTCTATATGATGAGATAGAGGTAACTATTTAATCTCATAATAGAAGAATTTCTCGTGAGACACA